TGTCTCGTCATCCCACATTATTCGGCCTTGTGGCGTGGTTTTATTTGTATGGTGCAGTGCAATTTCGTTGTCTCCGTTTTGATACATTTCATAAATTGTCATTCTGGTTCTCTATGGTCGAACATTCCCTCTCTTTTTAGACTCTCAATTCTTGTATTTTTTTTTGCAAAATAATGTGCTTGTTGTAATTATCTTACGAATACGAGTTTCCAATAATCTTTGCAATTTATAAGTATCCATTGAGTCTGTCCAGCTCAGCTGAGAATGGAGGTAGGGTCATCATAGATGTTACCCATGCCCACGTTAGCAATGATAGAGAACTGTGTGTACATGTGTTGTGTTTTTGTATAAACTTGAAATTGTACTGCCAAATTATTCTCCCTTTTTGGGTAAATTTTACTTGTTAGTCTTGTGCAGCCTGTGGAGCTGTGTCGCTAGTCTCACGTATATAGTGTTACACGTTTCAGCAGCTGCCACTTGCACCTGTACGGTTCAGTGACAGCTAGGTTCAGACGTTCAAAAAACTGACACCTAGGGCCAGTTTTTCTGACCTATGGGGTTAATTGCTTGACTTAAAGAATGCGTGACAAATTGGAGATGACCTAACATGCCAGACGGGTAATTAATCTTCAGTTGTTTTAGCCTGTTTTGAGCGGGCTGTTTCAAGTCAAGTATGAAATGTTCATAATTGCACAACGATTGCATCAGGTACATTATATGTCAAATAACATGAATTAGACATGCGATGTAATCTTAGCCATGCCAATGATTCGTCATTCATAATCATCTGAGAGACTTTCATTATTAAATGTCAAAATACAATTGGTTGGACGTTCCCGACAAACATCCTCGTATTTCTTGGTTGTGCAGGTTGTAATCTTCCCCACAACCTCTGCTTGGAGAGCACAGATCGTTCACGTCAAGCCGCCGCCGGACACACCCTCATCGTGAGACAACCGATGTCTACATCCCCGGTGCTGAGACATCCGTTCCCGCGGTCCCGATAGAGCTGTGGGCAGGGGCCAGAAAGTGAGCCTGCGCAGTGTGTCTGGTTTGTACACCGTTATTTTATTGAAACCGATAATTTTTCTGTAATTTCCTTTATAGAAAATGATTATTTTTCTATTATTTCATATAAAACAATTATTTTTCTGTTATTAGTTTAAATAGAAAACGATTATTTTTCTGTTATTATTTTAGACAAAACGACCCCTGAAAATTCCCTGACTTTTTCTCTGAAGACTACGATGAAAGATTGTTAGAGACATATGGCCAAGTAAGGATTTTGGTGCTGTTTTAATACTGGTGCTGTTTTAATACTCTAGAGGTTCCAAAGTTGTTGTTTTTTTCGACGGCGTTGACGCGTTGAAGTCGTGACAATGGTAGTTAATGTGATGGAGCTATTATTCTATTTTGTATGGGTAGGTTTTACTAGTTTTGTTGTTTGTTTTTATTCAGTGGCGATCCTAGTACGTTTATATGTGAGTACAGTTGTCCGTTTTGACAGGATGGACCGTGTTTATAGGTTGACCCAGCCTATGTTCTGGGTCAATGTCGACGTCGCCAGCTAGTGGTTGCATTTGGTTGTCAGGTTGAAACTGTTCAAGGGGCACATGTCTTCTTCTTTTTCAGTGTACATGCAGCGACCCTCGGCCAAGAACGGGGCACACGACGGCCAACGGGCACCATAGAAAACGATTATTTTTCTGTTATTATTTTAGACAAAACGACCCCTGAAAATTCCCTGACTTTTTCTCTGAAGACTACGATAAAAGATTGTTAGAGACATATGGCCATGTAAGGATTTTGGTGCTGTTTTAATACTCTAGAGGTTCCAAAGTTGTTGGTTTTTTGACGGCGTTGACGCGTTGAAGTCGTGACAATGGTAGTTAATGTGATGGAGCTATTATTCTATTTTGAATGCGTAGGTTTTGCTAGTTTTGTTTGTTTTTATTTAGTGGCGATCCTAGTGCGTTTATGAGACTTTTATTACGCAACAATGTACAAGGTACAAAGTATGGCAGAAATGAGAGAACAAATCTAACAAATCAGTCTACGTAGTACAATACTAGGTGATATGGGATGAAAAGGCGCTTATACAATCATTAAAAGAATTCGAATTTCTTACGTTTAGACATTCTTTAAAATACTGTCCTATATTCACAATGTATGGATTGTCAAAAGTCAACAAGTATCTGAATTTGCTAGATGAATTCATGACGAGAAATTCTGGTATAGAAGTTGATATAGTTGCATATAGTGAATTACGTATATCAGAATATTTGGGACAAACAATCAAAAAGTGGTATTCGTCTTCTATTGATTCTGGACAGAATGGACAAACCCTCTGGTCAGCAGGTATTTTCTGAAATCTTCCTGTTTCCATACTTAATTTGTGACAGCCAATCCTGAGTTTTGTGATTGCTCTTCGTATGTCAAGGCTTTTTATGTGTGAAAGGTAGTTTTCCTGTTTATAATGTTTGTCTAAGGTAGAAAGGACGGAAATTTTTGAATTGTTTCTAATAGTACAGTGCCAATTTTGAATATAAATGTCTTGTAAACGTTGCCGTAACTGAGTGGTAATCAAATTTATATGATAATTCCGCGGGTTTAGCCATATATGTCCAAAACCGTGGTAGTTGAGGATATTATATACATGAACGATCCAGTCATGTTCTTCACAGCTAACAACATTGTATGCCTCACGAAGAAGGGCGTCCTCGGGTAAATTGACTAAACGATGCCAATATTTTATGAGTTGAATTTTTGTATCAATTATAACTGGGAAAGCTCCTAGTTCTCCTCTGACGCCATCATTTGACGCTTTGGAGTGTACACCTAACAGAAATTTCTGAAAGCGCTTTATGTGTGAGTACAGTTGTCCGTTTTGACAGGATGGGCCGTGTGAGTTTGTCTGTATTGTACATGTATAGGTTGACCCAGGCTATGTTCTGGGTCAATGTCGACGTCGACAGTGTTTGCATTTGGTTGTCAGGTTGAAACTGTTCAAGGGGCACATGTCTTCTTCTTTTTCAGTGTACATGCAGCGACCCTCGGCCAAGACGGGCCACACGACGGCCAACGGGCACCGTCTCTTCCGTTCCCGATCCGGGGAAGCCGACCACTGATGGACCTGACACGTCAGCCACCCATCCATCTGGCCAGGGATGTACTTCCCCGGGCACTTTCTCTTCTTCTCCTGCATTAGGGAGCAGACCGTCCATGTCAAGCCACCGCCGGACACACCCTCATCCCCCGAAACAACCAACGTCTGCATCCCCGGCCCAGAGACATCCATTCCCGGTCCCGGTCCTGGGAGAGCTGTGAGGCCAGTCACACCGCCTGAGACCGATGTGACAGCAGTTCCTGGCACAGCCGATGCGACGAAGCCAATGTGAACGTGCTTTTCGATGTCCAGTACAAGGACGCAAAAGACAATAGAGTCTTCATGATCGATACCAAATGTCATAATGTCTGAAGACATTAGCCAGAGGAACCACCCCTTGACCAAATTGTTTGATTGTCTGGATCCATCATATGTCCTAACTACAAGGACAGTAACGACAAAACATTTGAGCATAAAGAACGACAGTCATTGTAACAACAACTAGTTCAATTGTATTGTCACTTATTTTGTTACACTGGGCTTCTCCAGTAGCCAGGCTTTGAGACTGGAGAATGATAGACAGTCTATATTGTAATCGAAACTGATTGCTGTTATTCGGTACATCCAGTTATCAAACTAACGAGTACAACGGCCATATAAGATTTGTTCAATGATTCACTGCTATACAATAATCTCTTAAATACAAGGGAGGCATGTATGGTATTTATAGCATGACGTCTGCATAGTTTTTGTACAATATCCAATGATCATATGCAACAGGAGTTCCCTGGCTGAACAGCTGTAATAGATGGCCTAGTACAGGTGTCTCCCACTGCAAGGTCAGAGGTCAAGTCTAAAAGTCTTGACCAAAGCAAGTCTCTGTGTCATTCCTCAGTTTGTCACTTGTTAGAGTTAGGTCCTAGGTCAGACAAAAAAAGGACTATTCTGTTATGAATGTTAGGCAGGACAGGTTTCAGGATGCTTAATATTCAGATGGACAAAATCACATCCCCCAACTTCATCTCATCAATTGAACGTACTAACCCTGTACTTGAGGACAATCTGTCGTCCCTAGGCTCGGCCTCGACAAGATCCACAAGACCACCCTACTAATACCAAAACTCCATGCCATTACCACTTACTAACCCTGTACTTGAGGACAATCTGTCGTCCCTAGGCTCGGCCTCGACACGATCCTCAAGACCACCCTACTAATACCAAAACTCCATGCCATTACCACTTACTAACCCTGTACTTGAGGACAATCTGTCGTCCCTAGGCTCGGCCTCGACAAGATCCACAAGACCACACTACTAATACCAAAACTCCATGCCATTACCACTTACTAACCCTGTACTTGAGGACAATCTGTCGTCCCTAGGCTCGGCCTCGACAAGATCCTCAAGACCACCCTACTAATACCAAAACTTCATGCCACTTATCCCACCTACTAACCCTGTACTTGAGGACAATCTGTCGTCCCTAGGCTCAGCCTCGACAAGATCCACAAGACCACCCTACTAATACCAAAGCCTCACCATCTCATCATAAAAGAAAACAACTTTAAAGTTCCGCCGCATTAGGCCCGCCAAGTTTCCTTCCCGTCATGCTAAGAAAATTACGTCAAGTGCTAAACACAATCAGACTCGCCTTTATTACGTCAAAGCCATCGCCTCTATACACTCCTGCCAAAATGAACACACAACCAGGTAGGCTTTCAGTTACTGCTCTTTCCAAACATACCGCTAGGTGTCGTCCTTACACTGTAGCCCAGTGACAGGTCCCACAATACACCTCACTCAACTTTGACCTGCCCCATTGCATGACGGGAACAAAATGGCGGCGCCCATAAAATCCAAGTAAAATAGAACAGGTTTTGCTATCGCAAACCTGTAAATCCCATGATGCCGTGTTCGCAAAATGGCAGCGCCCACGTCAGAGAAAGTGAGTATTTCCGATTCTTCCGTCGTTCTTCCTTTATTTACTCTCGTAGAAGATTTGAATGACCCCAACTTGTAGCTGTGTTCAATAAGAGGACTCCCAACAGTTATTACAGTATGATTTCGAGATAATTACTCCTGTCACAACCGCAGAATCTCACCAGTAACGTAAGCGTACGCACCGGTGGCTATAGTAGAAAGTTGTACCCTAAATATTTAATTGTTATGATGTGGCACCCTCAAAACCGGATCTACAACCTGCCTCGCCTTTGCAGTTTGCAGAAAAACAAAGGGATTTCTGTAAATATGCCGGTGAAAAAGTGTACCTTGATTCTACAGGTGATCGAAAATGCTGCAAGTATCGGAAAACTCAAAACAGAACACACAATCCATAATTTTGTGACCAAATAATTTTGTCATTATGTCGCCTCCAATTGTAATGTTGTGAAATTGTAGTACACTATATACATGGAGTATGGTGATGCATAAGATTTGGCATTTTGACTGGTCGTTCGGTAATTTTTAAAGTAAATACGATGCTAGCCAAAACCAGAAAAAGTAAAACACAAATGATATAGTGATACTGGCATACATGTACCATGGAGGTAACCTCCATGCATGTACTGATAGAAAAGGAGACTGTCCTTGAAAATCATGTCCAGGATGACAGAATAGATTTGCGTTGCCTTATGTCGTATGGTTCATACAGTACTAACAAAACCCATGTGTGTTTCCAGGCCTTTGCCATGAGGCTGTGACAGGTACCAAGTTTGCCGCTCTGCAATGACAGTGAAGCTGCAACCACGGATCATGGAGGGTTTTGTGTGCGTCATCTTCGTCGCGTTATCTGCACTATGTGTGGGTATGGAGTACATGGCACGAAAGGCCAAGCCACCAGAGATATCAGCATCTAACCCAATATTTCTTAAGTTCCAAACAGACTACTTCAAAGTCTATTTCCTGGCTCTTCTTGCAGACTGGCTACAAGGTCCATATCTGTACAAGCTGTACAGTCACTACGGGTTCGAGGAGTCACAGATTGCAGTTCTGTACGTGTGCGGATTTGCGTCAAGTGTAATTTTCGGGACAGGTACGGGAGTGTTAGCGGACAGGTATGGAAGGAGAAAGCTGTGTGTGTGCTTCGCCGTGGTGTATTCCATTTCATGCCTGACAAAACTCTCCAGGCACTACGGCGTCCTGATCTTAGGTAGAGTTTTAGGAGGGATCTCCACGTCACTGCTGTTCACCGCGTTCGAGTCCTGGTACGTTTACGAGCACATAGAGACACACGACTTTCCTCCGGAATGGCTTCCGGTCACGTTCTCGCGAGCAACGTTCTGGAATGGAATCCTAGCGATAGGGGCAGGAATCGCAGCAAACATCTTTGCAGGTCTTTTCAACTTCGGACCCGTGGCGCCCTTCATCATGGCAATACCGTTACTTATCGCATCAGGAGTTCTTGTAAGTACAAAGTGGAACGAGAACTACGGCACGCGCCAGATGAGATTCTCCAAGTTGTGCATAGAGGGACTCCGAGAGATCGTCAGAAGCAAGCGGATTGTGCTCATCGGTGCTATACAGTCTCTGTTTGAAAGCTGCATGTATATCTTTGTCTTCATCTGGACGCCGGTGTTAGATCCGTCAGGACCTCCGCTGGGCGTGGTTTTCTCCTCGTTCATGATCTGCATCATGATTGGTTCGTCCCTGTTCCATATCCTGACGACGAAACACGCCCGTCTACAAGCTGTGCACGTCCTCGCCATATCAGTCCTCCTGGCTCTAACCTCCATGGTGTCCTGTATCAAATCCACACCACCCCCACCACGAGAACCCGACCGTATCATTCCTGGCGTTCCTGCTACTAGAACTCGCGTGCGGGATGTACTTCCCGTGTATGGGATTCCTACGGAGCAGGATCATCCCGGAGAAAAACCGTGCCAGCATCGTCAACTGGTTCCGCGTTCCCCTAAACTGTATCGCGTGTATCGGACTTATGTATCTCCACAACGATGACGTTCTAGGCACGCATAAAATCTTCATCGTTTGCTCGCTACTCCTGATGGTGGCCATGTTGTGTGTGTTCCAGCTCTGTATATTCATAAAAACGATGACAGTTTAAGAATACAGATAGTGGATACAGACACTCTGAATGGCAATGGTGTTCAAGGAATGGAGAGAGATAGCCTTATGTCTAAGATATAAGAATTGGAGCTGGTTCTCTGGTGGCTATGTTTGTGTTTTGTTCTAGTGATTGAGAAATTATCAGGTTCAAACTTCAAACTGTTTAATCTAGAAAGGGGTTGTGGCAAATCCATGTGCAATTTTCTTGCTTAGCCATTTATTTTAATGTTCCATTATTTTGTATGCTGTATTCTATTGCTGCAAACCCATGTTATCTCAAATCTCATGACATTTTTAAAATCTTTGTTGTGGTAAAATTTCCCTCTGGACTTTTGTAGTTTGTCCCTAAGACTTGAATATTCCAAGATATGTAACATTTGCTTACTCATATGTTATATGCTGTTACATATATTGCTTTCATTTTATGATACAATTGTATTGTATGCTCCAAAATATTTCCATATGCAGTAAACTGTGAAAAGAATGTTCACAATCATAACATATGCAGGTATAAAAACGCAAACTATGAAATGTAAGCCAAGATGATACTGTATTATATGGAATGAGAGGCAATTGAAATTTCATACATGTACAACAATAAGTTGATTTTGCTAATCTCCAAGCAGATTTTTTTAGTGGCTGCAAAACAGTATGAAATTCGCATGACAGTATCTTTGGCAGTATCCAATATGCCGAAAATAAAAATACCAGTACAAAAGAAAGCCTGACAGAAACACTTAAAACATGTCAAAAATTAGCGAAAGCTCTGCTTGGAGACTAGATTCTACATCACAAAGCAAAGGTGTAAAAATAGTAAAGAAAAGTCATAGCAATTGCATGAACATATTATTTATCAGATTTGCTTGTTGCAAGGGAGGCAGGTCATATAATTTAGAAATGTATACCATATATACTTCTGGTACTTGTACTTACACTTCTGTCACATAGGTTGTATCATGGGCATATAGTTATACAGGAAAGTCTCTTAGTTATGAGTTATACATGTGTACATTACACATCTGTGAATGAATCACTATGTTGATGTTATTTATATGTATGAAAGACAGGTACTTCCAATAATGAACACTTTAGAAACAATTTAGAATCAAATGTTCCTTTTTTTCCTGCAGATATTTTGAAGGCAAGTTTGTTGATTTTTCTCATGCCCTCTAAAATTTATATTGGTGATGTAATAAGATGTAGCCTGGTTACCAAATCTATTTTAGCTGTTGAGTCACTTTCATTCTCTGAGTAGATATCTGTTTTAATAAAATCACTGCCTTCTTGCTTGCCATTCCAAAGCTGTTATGATTTTGCCAAGCAAAATGAAAGAATTCATACTATTGCTTTAAGTATTTGAGAAGATTGAAAGAACTTGCTAGCAAGAACAGTTATTCATGTATGCTTTTCATAATTTGCTTGTAGTTACTTCTTATTTTCTTAATCAGTATTTGCTCATGACAGTTCTAGCATAAAAGTCGTTGTATTCGGTATCTGATGATTATGATGATACTATTTTCAATATTAGTGCCCAGGTATTTATCCAGGTACAGTGCATGTATTTTGTTTTAGCTATTTGGATATTCATTATTAAGATACAGGTTAGCAAATTGTCAATACTGGGGGAATAATATTTTGCTATGTGTAATTATAAGTCTCATTGTTAGCTGGTTGTGTTATCATCTTTCAACACACATTTTTTTTCAATTTGCCATGTAATAGTGGTCAGTGTAAAGTTGGAAAGACTAGGGATTTTGAATATCTAATAAACTTGAAAAGTCAACATAACATAAAAAGCATGCACTTAAATGTACATTTCACAACAAGTAATTATATAGGACTTTATGTGTGTTAGATTGTCCATATCCCTGCGCCTTTCCAAATGTACAGTGACCAATGTTGAATTTTTAAATACATGTATGTTAAGGAGCTGAATTTATTTGCTTATCTGGGGTCAGTAAACTTCTTGGTTCAACAGATGAATGGCGTCAGTCCTTTATTTGAAAAATAGAAAAGATAGAAGCCTTGACTCGTGTACCGTATTACTGATATGGTCACGAAAGATCAACTGTGTTGGTAGCTACATGTTTACAGTTTAAACTTTTAATTGTTCCAACACAAGAGATTGTTCTCACCTAGAGCTTTTTTTGACCAGTCACCCTGGTCTTTTTCAATAGACAGACCTAGGGCGACAAAGGTTTAACTCTTGAACATATTACAGATATGGTTTTTAAAATTAACAACCCTTATCTTAAGCAGACTATTTCAGACAAATTAGCTGTATATTTGCAGAGCTTTCCATCCTCACATGGAAATTTTGCAACGCAATTGAAATCAGAATATCTGTAAGTTTGAAGAGTTGTTAGAATAGAGAGAGCCCCTTTCTGTAGAAGCCATTCCAACAACCCATGCCCTCCCAGTTGGCTTTACACCGACAAATGCACTGCCTGTAATTTTCGTCATATTCAGTAGGCGGCGCTGTTATCAGCCCACCCACAACATGGCGGCCGTTGCAGACGACAGTATGGCACAGCCAAGAAATTACTTTCACTGACGTCCTTACATCCAGTGGTCCCGTCTGGGCGTTAAGAGGCATTCCACTGGAAAAAAGTCACCAAGACAAAGACGATCAACAGATCCGTCAACATTTGATAGCTTGCCTTTCTCTTCAAAGCCTGGTGACATATTTCCCTGGACTGGTCTGCATGTGACGTTATGGATATGATCGGCACGCGGGCTATTTTGGGCTCGGTGTTTTGGAGGGCGCGGAGTTCATCAATGGACAAGGGAATAAGAAGAAGGTATGAGGATTTTTTTTACAATTCACTTTCATCGTTGTAAAGAAAATTTCTAGCTCAAAATTGAAGTACACAGTTACTTGATAAACCGGGTGCGCTGCCTCTCCAAGCAGATGCACCACGTTACGCCAATGCAAAATGTAGCGGTGGAATTCTAGTAGTACAGACCTGACACGCCCATACTACACTGTTTTCATAAACTGGGCAACTAGGACAAAGTTTACAATTACAGTGGACGGCATGGTAGTGTGTTCACACCAACTGAATAACCGACACAGATGTGGACGTTGGTACACAAAGTATAACCTTAACGTAACACCCGCGACATCGATCATTTACGAGCCTTAAGGCCCTTCCCTTTTTGGTGTAGTGGTATGTAATCCCTCGACCCTTATGCCAATGTATGATTCATGTATAACCCCTACCCCGTCCTAATGTAGTGTATAATGTGTTTAAAATGTACAACTTGGGGCTGTAGCCAAATGAATAAAATTCTATTATTAAAGGCTTACAAGTTCCCATGCTTTTCATTTTTACAGGGAAACGTGTCGACTAACTGTAGTACCAGAGAACGTGGGATGAACTGATCATGATGCAGGGAAAAGACGAGCAAGAAAATCTTCAGGATAAAATTTGTTGAAGTGAAATTCTGACAGCCATGGCACCCGACGTGCTTGTTTACGTGGAAGACGCGCGCTTTAAGGTACACAAACAAGTCCTGATGGAAAACAGTGACTACTTTCACTCCATGTTCACCCACTGTCTCAGAGAGTCTCAAGAAAACTCCGTGACTCTCAGAGGACTGGAGGAAGAAACCTTCGAGACGTTACTGACGTTCATGTACACTTCCAAGATGTCGCTAACTGACGATCACGCGAACTTCACGAAAATTCTCTTCACCGCGACCTACCTACAAATCCCCAAAGCTCTACAACTGTGTGATAATTACTTACAAAACCTCATGAACAGCGAGAACTGTGCAGAAATGGCAGTGGTAGCTGGTGACCATGGTCTAACCCAGCTAGAGTCCGCAGCTCTTGAACTAGTGAGCAAAAATTTCTCTCTAGTAACTGAATCAGTCAGTTTTCTATACCTCTCTCCTGTGCAAATGATCAAACTGATAGACAGCAGTTATACAATCGCGTGCGCAGAGTTGGACATCTTCGAGGCTTATGTAAAGTGGTTTAGATTCAACATCAAAGAAAGATACAAGTTTGTTGGCAAGATTATGTCAAAAATAAGATTCGCTCTCATCAGCTTGAGACACCTTGAGGAAGATGTCTTCAAAATTGCGGAGGAGTTTAGGGATCTCGAGTTTATCCGGATTGTTCTAGAAGCGAGAGATTGGCACATAAAGAAGTTTGAACAGAGTGTGTGTGCAGGTATGAACGTCACCTCCAGAGTGCCGCCGGTTATGACGCTTATTTCTGGTTTGGAAGACGCGAATCAGGACTCTTCCTTGGCGATGCAGATGTGCCGGACTCCGTCACCAGGTAAACTACTCTGGGAGCCTGTCAATACACTGCCCAAGGGGTTTCAGGAGGCAGCAGTGGCTTGTGCCGTGGTGAGTAGGACGAAATTTGACGTGATAGAGACAGAAATCATACTCATATTTGGTCAGAATCTTTGTTTTTTAAATTGGCCTACCATAGACCAAATCATGTTTAATACAGTAGCCTTCCTTTTATTTTCTATATCTTAAGTATATCTTAAGACCTACTCTCCTGTCCACCAGCAAGAGTCACTTCATACAGGAACAGCTTACAGTACTATGGACCTTACCTCTGGAACTCACTCCCCCTACAACAACGACAGCAGCTCAGTCTCAGAACTTTTAAACAGTTTTTATCGAATTGTATTTAAGATTAGTTAATATTTGAATATGTGCTATTTTTAGACTTTGTATGTATTGTGAATCTGTTTAACTGTTAGGTGTTTGTGCTTTTGTACCAGGATTTCCTGAAAAACAGGCCAGAGTGGCCTGAGTGTGATACCTGGTTAAACAAATAAAGTTGAAAGTATTATCTTCATTAGCCTAAATTGCTATCTAAATCCCCTTTTTTGGCGACGCGTCAGGGGCGGAGACATTTACTATATCTTGTTTTGATGTCCTACAGGTTGAAGATTTCCTGTACGTGCTGGGGTTCCCCACACATTTCCTGTCCAGCGACTCCCTGGTGAAGGACCACGTCAGTCTGTTCTACAGGTACGACTCCAGACAGCACGACTGGTTACCGCTCAGGAAACCAAGGGTTAAACACGCAGGTAATGCACACATCAATGTTCATCCTGTGGGGGTGGGGGTCCTCATAACACAAGGGGGTAAACACCAGTAGAGAGGGAGGGGTGCAGGGGGAGGAAGAAAGAAGAGCAAATGGGGAAAAAAATTAGCCGCAAAGAGAGAGAGAGAGAGAGAGAGAGAGAGAGAAAGGAAAAAATGGAAAGTAACAGACGGAGACAATGAGAAAGGTGACAATGACTTTCAGACTATGCATTTATTTTGCCTAGGATTCATTTACCGTAACTTTTGGTGGAGTGAGAGAGAGAAAGAGAGGGAAAGGGGAAGAAATGGGAGAGGAGGAATGAAGGAAAGAAACAGACTGAGGCAGAGAGTAAGATTGGACAATGGCCTGTAGACTACGCACGTTGTTTTGTGTCTAGGGTACTTGAATTTTATGTTCGTCAGTACACCGTATCTTCTGACTCTTTTATCCAGGCATGACACTGTCAGCCATCGGTGACAAGCTGTACGCCTGTGGGTCGGCCTGTAACAACATCATGGAGTCTTACTTCATCCGCACAAACAAATGGTCGGACGCGGCGCGACTTCCCCACCACCTATTCCTGCAGGCCACCGAGACATTCGGCGGGAAGCTGTACATATCCGGCGGCCTTCACGAAGAAACGGGGCTGAGTCAAGCCAGTTGCGACCTCTTGCGGTTCGACCCAGAAACAGACGAAATCGTCACGCTAGGACCAATGCGTTCGCCGCGATTCGGGCACTGTCTGGTGGCGGTCGGGAGCAAGTTGTACGTGTTCGGCGGCACGACGTTCGACCCCGAGATCATATCGTGGAGGTTCGCGCTGAATTCTGAGTGTTACGACGTTACGGAGGACGTTTGGACAGAGATCCCGTCCATCCCGTCTCCCAGGTCGTTTTTCGGGGCGCTGGCTTGGGGGGAACAGATCTACGTTGTCGGGGGGACCCGGGACGGGGTAGGGCTGATGACCGTGCACGTGTACGACGTGAAGAAGAAGAAATGGGAAGACAGGCCGCAGATGCAGAGAAGATTGTTCTATCCGGGGCTGGTGACGCTGCGACATCCCTGCAAGAAAAATAAGAAATGGTGGGACCTCACTCTAACGTAACGTAGAACTTTGACGTGAAGAACAGTATGATACATTTAGTGACCGATATTTACATATAAACCAAGTTAAGTATTTGTGCCAATGACCTACATGTAGGAAGCAAACAGTAGAATAGGTCATTGTGGTTCCTTTGATTTAGCTTATAAAGCTAGTCCTATAGACAAAGCACTGCTTGAATGGCATATCTTACGATGTACAAAGAGTCTGATTTTATCTGCATTTAATAAAATTGTGGCTGACAAAACTTACCTGGTCTTCTGTGGTCGTGGTGTAAAATAAGAAAATGTTTCTCTCATATCACAAAACTCCAGAGGATTTTTATGGCTTCAAAAGGTAGTATGATGAGACGATTTTACATGAAGAATTACCATAACTGTGAATATATATATATATTTATCTTTATTTGACTATCTTCATATTATAATTCATCAAATAATGTAGCACCGTCATAATCAACCATTTTTTCCATTGCACAAGTTCTGAACGCACTATTGTACATTTGATCCATTATGATTAACAAAGTACCATAGAAAGATGCGAGTTTACGCACGACAGAGTATACGGTAGGCACCTTTACACATCTTGGTGAACCAGTACAGGTTAAACATAGAGACTACAGGCATACAGCCGAAGATAGTCACGAGTAGCGGCGTGCTGACTGTGTACAGCTGTCCTGTCGCCATGAATGGAGACAGTCGGAACCACAGAGGGATGGTGGCGAGCCGACATGTGAAAAACACCAACAACAAGAGAACTCCGTTCAACTTGTACAGATGCGTAGTCTTCTGTCCCAGTGAATACAAGATGATCCTGGACAAAGGGAGAGAATATAGTGACGGGGGGCGACACAGGTTATCTGACATGCATGACCCGCTGCTTAAGTCATAAAAGAATATGGTGACGGGGGCGACACAGGTTATCTGATATGTACGAGCCGCTGCTTAAGTCATGAGAGAATATAGTGACGGGGGGCGACACAGGTTATCTGACATGTACATGACATGCTAAAGTCACCTTTAACCTTGACGTACACGTAGCAGAAGACGGGTTAATTCGGTGAAGTAGTGAAGTTCAGCCATTGTTTCATAGTGTCATTGTTTTTCTGTTTATAGTACCGGTACATGTATATGACAGTACTATCGGGCCGCAGCATAGTGTTCTTATATTGATATTTTGAGACGTATGTGTAGTTTTGTACTAACCTCATGTTCATGAAAGGACTGGACAGTTCTTGCAAGAGAACGAGGTTGCTATAGTAGGGCAGTACGGGATCCACCTTGGAAATGGCAGGAAAAATTGAAGACAGACGTAATTATCTCATTTGATAGATTTATTAGAACACTGAATATATGTGTATTTGATGCAGTTTACTTGGCACTTGCAACCCTACACTCAGAATTGGCGTCTTTGGACAGCAATAATGAACTACGATTGAAAAGATTAAGAAAAACAGCTTACTCAGTCCGTATTGATCATAAATCCTAATCAAGATCATAATCAAGTTATGTAGAAATGTAGAGAAATGGCCACTTACGGATCCAGCCACTGATCCAAACACACCCATTACATGATGAACCATCATCATCAGATCGTACTGGGCGGGATGTGTCGCCATTATCAGTAGATCTGGTGGTAAAACGGATTGTTTGTCTTTTTACTTCATGTGAAATATTTCAAATTTCTTATTTGACACTGTACAGTAATCTTATCTATCCAGAATTCTAGTAAGATGGTGGTCACGTCTGTTTCTAAGAGGAATACGTGCTCTAGATGTTTTCATAAAAAAGAAGATATCAAAATACATGTACAAGAATATGGTATACAATTGTTCATTCATAAATGTTTCTTCTGTGTAATTCCTTACTGCATTTGGGAGTGGTAAAGGCATACATACCTGCCACTGTGTATCCCAGAAATATGCACGCTGCGTGCCTCGTGATAGATGAATCATACCTGTGATAGAAAAAAAAAGTTTTGTATGTTATAGTGGTTAACTAAGTTATAGTTACAACAGTCACTGACGTATACATCATTGAACTGGCTCTCGCAAGTGCAAAGAAGTAAATATAAGCCAACATTGCATGCATGCAAATGTAACGAAGACAACAAGAGCGTACCAAAACACAGTCGGTAGTACCTGTCCTGGGTACATGAAGACGTACACAGACATCCCTCCAACAACTACACTGTGCACCAAGGACATCACACTGGAATAGAAAAACAATTTCATTACACAAATTGAAAGAAGGAATATAATTCAACTGACAATAAATAAAAGGAATGTTGATCAGCGAGATCGAAACCATGGTACCTGTTTGTTATGACGACTTGTTCCTTCGGGGACAATTTCTTAAAAGTTGGAGATTTTTTCTTCATCACAGGTGCCGCTAACCACCTGAAGATGCTCAGATGGAAAATCAAACTGGAAACGATCGTCAGGATATGCTGCAGTCCATACGCCATCGCTGAACTGTATTTAGAAAATCTAAGTACAAGTTGTAGAACCGGTTTCAGGTGAAAAAGTGAGCTACATTTGTAGATCTACACACCTGTGATAGGGGGCGCTGTTGCAAGATCTCCCGACAGGCCCTATCCAAGATGGAGTCGTTTCGTGCAGACGACATTTTCCGGTCGATGACGAAATCGCCGATTCCGTGGTAAGACTGACTTGCCACCGAGCTGGAACATCTTCATAACATTCTGACGGTGTTTTTGTATTGATTCGGGAGGATATTTCAAGCTGTGAAGCCACGCAACAAGTGGGAATTGTAGCAAAACTGAGGAGGTAGCAGAAAGATCACCTGCCCCCCCCCCTGTTTTTGTTTAACCAAATTATGCTATTTACTTGGTTTAACTTTTATTTCTGCCAATATTACGGTGCACATAGTTTATATCAGGACGTGATCCACAGAAATATTTTTGAGGCGCCCCTTACTTAGGCCGGTGGGGAAAACACAAACCAAAACAAGGGTTATATTTGGACGTGTCAGCTGATGGTTTTGGCGTGGGAACCCAGATAGTGGCGTAGTTAACATTTACCGCATCCCTCACAGTTACAGTCGTCATGTTTTGTTTTGACCCGACTTTTGAAAACAAAACGCAACATGTACAACCGAGACCGGCAATAATATTGACTTACTAAGCGCTACTGCGTCTGTCAAAATTTATCAAATTTACGGGCAGTAGATAGATTTGTTTGAAGCTAAAACATAGCAAAACTTTGCACCCAGACAGCCCCGATAAGCATCAAAGGTCGCCTAACACCGATAGGCTATCAAATAACCAGAGTTGATGCGTAGTACGATATGGCAGATGTCCCAAAAATACGTAATGTTAGAACTACTCGTAAGTCAGTTGACCGGAAAATAATGTTTCCTCTTATTTAACTTTAATGATTCCGACCTTGGCAGGACGCGCGGTACGCACCACCGAATCACATCGGATTGACTCATGTCAACACAAATAGTGTCACCAGCCGGCCGGGTCTCTGCGCAAGAAGAAACCACCGGCTCGACACAGTGCTTCAAGCGGAAGGAACGCGACTCGGACCCCGAAGACATGGGCAAGGCAGTCCCTTCCCAGAAGAGGTTCCGCCGGGGCGACCCCCAGTGCGACCTGACGTTACGTGTCCAGGGGACCGACTTCAGGGCCCACAAATGTGTCATCATGGCCAACAGCGACTATTTCTACTCCATGTTCACGCATCCCTTGAAAGAGTCAGCAGAAACAGTTGTGGAACTCAAAGGGTTGGAGTCGGACACGTTTGAAACTCTGTTCGACTTCATGTACACGTCAGACCTGACGCTAACGGAGGACACCCTTCAGAATGTTTTGTCGGCATCGACGTACTTACAGATCCCCAAAGCTCTGGAGAGATGTTCCGGCTACTTGGAACAGACAATGGACGCTTTAAGCTGTGCAGAGACACTTGTGACCGCTGGAAACCATGGACTGACCAGTCTGGAGCTGATCGCCATGGAATGTTTGGCTAAAAACTTTGTCATAGCTACCGAGTCACTCAGCTTTCTGTACCTCTCCCCAAAACAACTCCTGACTCTTCTTGACAACGACTACACTTTCGTCTGCGCCGAGTTGGACATATTTCATGCCATTGTCCGATGGTTTAGGCACGATTTTGAGCAGAGGGCAAAGTATGTGGGAAAGATCATGAAGAAAATCCGCTTTGGCTTGATCAGTGTGGCAGATATAGAGATAGTACCAGTGAGTAAGGAGTTCGGAACCCGTGAATTTTCCAAACTGGTGGCCGACGCGAGAGACTGGCATTCGAGGAAATTCGAGCAAAGTGTTTCTGACAAAGTGAACAGCACGGCAAGGGTGGCTCCGTACATGACGCTTGTTTCTGGTATGATAGACTCGAACCAGGCCTCCTCCCTGGCCATCCGGATGTGCCGCACACCGTGGAAGCGCAGGCATCGCTGGGAGCCTGTGGGGACCACGCCGAAGCACTTTGCCCAGGCTGCTGTGGCCTGCGCTGTGGTGGGTTTGAAACTTTTTTATTTAATACTTTCATATTTTTACATTGTTATCTAATTTCTTATTGGTTTAGAAGAAGCCTTTTCATGTTTTTGGGTTGGAAAAACTATATTGTCATTGATATTGCTGATATTATTTGTGAGAAATTAATACAATCAGCCTGGTAAGAATCCTTGTACATGCATTGATAATCATTGAATTTCAGTAACCTTTACTTACTGATATCTATAATAGTAAAGGCAGGGAAGCCAGGCCACTGTAGGGACAAAACTGGCCGGGATCCAGCAATGACTCAACTGCAGAGGCTAATCCAGTTAAAAGTGTTTTATGATGTAATCACAACCAGTTCCAAGAAAACACACAAATCTAAATAAGGTTAAAACTAAGTACAGGGTAACTCTACTTACAAGGTCACATTTGTCAGGGTTGACATTGAACAGGGGCAAACTCTACTATGGAATAAAACAAATATAGTGGCAGTCTACAGTGGGACCTTAGGGCTATACTAGAAAAGGGCTCGAAGGGCATGTGCACCTTATTGCACCCAAATTTGCAGCTGTGCCGCCAATTTTTTTCTGTGGGTGCACCAGTGCACCCAGATATTTTCATAGGTTTATGAATGTAAAAATGTTTAATGTATAGTAATATACATCATATTCTTAGTATCTAAGGGTAAAGAAAGATAATAAAATCATTGTTATAGTACATTACAGAAATGAAACTAATTAGTTTTTGCTGACATTCTAAAATCTTCTCATATGGTGCACCAAAAAATTTTTTGTTTTTTGTACACCCAATTTTTTAGGTTGGGTGCACCTATTCCCAAAAATGAATTTGAAGGCCACACCTATCTAATGTCTTCTTTCTTGCACTGTTATTTATCTAGGTGGGAGACTTTCTGTACGTAGTGGGTTTTCCCAAGCGCTTCCTCGCGAGCCAGTCCGAGATACACGACGACGTCAACTGGTTCATGCGGTACGACCCCCGCCAGGAAGAGTGGCTCAAACTCAGGAAGTTAAACTACAAACACTCCGGTATTAAAGTTTAAACAGTTGTTACATGGTTGATTTGTACACGGGCACCACCTAGCAAATTGTACAGGAAGTGCATGTACATGGTATTGCACAATGCTATTTGCACACTAATGTCCAAGGGTGGCAAAAAGACAGTATCAAATTGGCCAGGCAGTATCCATTGGCCAGAGAGGGTCCAATTTGCCACCCAAGATGGGGGTAGCGACAAAAAAAATGGGCCATATATAAAAAGGTAATAATCTTCCCCCATCAACCTCTGCTTGGAGAGTATCTGCACACTATTCACTCCTTGATGCTCCAATGTATTCACTGTGAATTTCTACATATTTGTACAGATAACAGTAAACCTTCGTACTTTCCTTCTGTGTTTTTCACACAGGTGTGAAACTTACGTCTGTTGGGGACAAGCTCTATGCGTCGGGATCGTCTGACGTGAATATCGTGGAGTGTTACCTCATCAGGACCAACCGCTGGGTGGACGCCTTCGAGCTTCCCCACAAACTGTTCCTCCACGCGGCCGAGTCCCACGGTGGGAAGCTCTACATCGCCGGCGGGATTTATGTAGAGGAGGCCGGCAGCACGGCTTGCGACGACCTTCTGCGTTTCGATCCTGCGACGAAAGAGCTCGCCACGCTCAAACCAATGGGCACGCCGCGTTTTGGCCACAGCCTGGTGAGCCATGGGAACAAACTGTACAGCTTCGGAGGTACGACCTACCACCCTGAAGTAGCCTGGGGGTTCGCAGAGACTTCAGAATGTTACGACATCAAAGACGATACCTGGAGCACCCTGCCGTCCATGCCGACACCGCGAGGGTTCTCGGGCGTAACCGTGTTGGGGGATCTGATCTACGTGGTGGGCGGAACCTGCGACGGGTTTGGGAAAACGTCGGTGGAGGTTTACGACGTGAATGAGAAGAAATGGGAAAAGCGAGCGATGATCCAGAGAAGGCTGTACTACCTGGGACTGGTCATGCTGAGACACCCGTTCAAGAAGTTCAAAAATCCCTAGGGTTGCACAGGGTGGTACACATGTACTTTGAAAACTTTCTACCTGTATTTAAAGGTAACAGTTGAGCCTCTAGGGTTCACTAGGGTGCTTGCATATTAAAGCATTTATCCTATGGATAGGCAATTAGAATAGCAAATGAGTTCATTTGTAACTTTTAACATTTATAATTATTCAGCTGGGAGATTGTATTAGTGCAAGTACCTTAATCAACCCCAAACAAAATATTTCTTGTTTTAGAGACGACAATCCCAATAGGGACTCTGACTCCACTGACAAAAACAATGTTTGTACATAGAAAAAAAATCGGTTAAGAAATTAGAAAAGTTAAGAAACCAGAAAATTGAGAAATGATGAAGTCTAGCCAATGTAGCATAAACTTAATTACTGGCAAATAATCAATGACAACAAGAATGTCAGTTGAGTTCATGTGTTATCTTTCTTTTCATATATCATCAGAATACACTAGTCCATATTAACCATGCTGGATTCTGACACTTATACCTACTTCTTACAAGTTACATAGCTAGAGGATAAAAGTGTAAAATTTGTACAAAACTAAGGATTTTACATTTATGCAATGATCAGATAGATGTAAAGTCATTACACCTGTCCTTTGGTGTACTTTTGCATGGTTTTTATATGGAACTGAATAAATTGTACAAATAAATCTTTAAAAAGATCCTCCTTTTTGTCTTCGTGTCCTTTTGGGGAGTTATAAAACCTACTTGTACTGTGCCTCTTTACAGCTTAAATCATGTTAGGTCAAAACATCTTCCTCTAACTGAAATAAAAAGTTTCCCTCCACTTTGTTTTAGTAAGAACGAACTTGGTACATTTTGTTGAATGAAGGAATGTTGGTTTTGTCTTTCGCTTATTGCTTTCCTTCCTGGTGACAACTGATATCAAATATTAGATGTTTTGCCGACAGGACGCTACACCTTTGCTGTATAGACTGTGATAACAAACACTGTTGCATCCATTTGGAACCCGTTGTTTAACGATCATATTGTACCTGTATGGTACCACCAACAGGAACAACAACGTAAAAAGAATTTGCTCCAAAAATGACCAGACACGACTGTCCTTGTTGATGGTTTAGTCTGATTCCTCCTCTTCTTTTACTTTCTTTTCCTTCTTCTTTTTCTTCTTCTTCTTTTCAGAGCTTGGCTGTAGAGGAAAAAAATGTATCATTCAATTAGATCACAAACAAGCTCTTAGATCTTAGGTTAGATGTGCTTGCATCAAGTGCAAGTCTTTTTTGAAGCAAGATATTTTATGACTGGATGCCCTTTTAAGACTGGATGTCCTAATGCCAACCCAAACCCTAGTAGGGCCCAGGATCCCTCTCTAATTGAGGGGGGAAATATGTGTAAAGTACCTTTCCCAAGAGGACAACATCTGTATGACAATGAAACTTTTGTACAGTATAGACATCTACAACAGAAACTTGAATGTACCTCGGGTGTTTCTGGTTCAGTAGCCGTGCTGGCTCCTCCTAATGATTCCTTCTTCTTCTTGTCTTTCTTCTTTTTTTTCTTGGCTGATTCACCTTCCTCAGATTCCTCAGCTCCTAGAGGAAAATAAAAGTTTTTTCTAAGACAAAATGTCTCTCCCAATAGTCCAGATACAAGTGAATAGGTACACATACATCTATATGTTCCACTAACTGGAGAATGTAAGACATACCTGGTTCTTCCTTGACCTTGGCCTTCTTTTTCTTCTTGGTTTTCTCGGGTGTCTCCTCCTCTCCCACCTCCTCTATCTTCCTCTTCTTTGGCACAGCAGGGAGGGTGGAGTCTGCTGAAGCATCAGCCACTTTCACCACACTACAGAACAACAGGAGTATGCATGAAGCAAGCAGGCTTTGTCTGTTCCATCGTATTTGCAGTCTACAGTACCTATTGCACAAATAAAGAGCGGTATGCTGCACTCCCCAAAACATCCCAGAAAGTAAGAGCTACATGTTTGAGGTTTGCTGGACACGGTTTCAAAAATTACAAGAAAGTAGTGTTCAAATTGGTGCTGTGGTCTCATCACATAGGAGAAAGAGGTCCGGAAGACAGCCACTCACGTATGTGGAATGTACTGAAAAGAGACACTGATCTACAAGCTGATGGCATGGGGAAAGCTATGCAATGCTTCTGAGGCTGCCAATGTGGTTTGAGTAACAAAGGACAACTGGCACTTGGCAATAGACAAGCTGCAGTTTAAACCATATCACACCGGAGCCATCTAAACCAGAACACAGCATCCTTACCTTTTACTCTGGTACTTGTCAGCCTGAGCCTTGGCCTTGCCGGCTCCAGCGATCTTCCTGAAGTGTCCCTCCTCGATCATCTTCAGCCTGGCCTCCAGCCTGGCCCTGTTCTCCAGACCCATCTCGTTAGACGTCTCCTCTCCCAGGGCATCATACCTGGCCGCTAGGGCGGTCTTAGCTGCCAACATTCGTGACACCTGGGGCATAGAGAAGGGAAGATTGGATTTATTGAAATTGTAACAACACAATACACATGGGACACAGGCAGCTGTTGCTGGTGTTGTGTTCCATACATAGAAACAAATACGGGACAGACAATACTCATTTTCACTTGAGTCAGGTGAGGAAAGTCGTGTAAAGTGCCTTAGACACTTTAGACAAATAGGGCAAAATTTTTGTCATACGCAGCAAAATATCGTCAACTGACAGAAAATTGGATGCTGGCTAGAACACTGGATCTTATAGTACTGGTCCTTACAAAAAGGACATGGAGGACACTACCCACCTTGCCCTTGTTCTTGGGAGTCGACTGCCCCACAAGGGAGGCGTGGTAGATCAGACCATATTTGGGCGTGTCATGTTTAGTCTTGAGTGCCCTGAACAGGGCCTTCTCTGCACCCAGGATCTGTACTGTGGAGGACGGATGCTTCGCCAAATTCAGCAGAGAACCTACAAGGCAAAAAAATTAAGAAAACCGTAAGTACAAGTAAAAAAGATTCATAAAAATGCAAGTACAAGCCTCCATTTTTATACCAGGCGAACAATTGTTTGTTATATTTACTAATATACATCTACACCACCACACAGTAGTTGACAAAAGTATTGGAGGAAATCCAGCACCACCCCTCAATCTTGTGTAGTGGTACAGCCCTTCTCTGATTACATCCCACAGGACTGTACCATGTTGTAGAATCAGGGGAGGACAGCTTACCTGCATGTGAGATGAGCCTAGCTCCCACCAGTTCCCCCACCATGATGGTGAGGTTGGGAGCGATGGCCATCATCCGGCTCTTCAGGTAGTCATACAGCTGGGCTCGGTACTCTGTAATGTCTATCACCTGTGCACAAACAAAGATGTTCAAGAATTCATTCTTTCCTAGCACTGTCGCAGAGTGGAACTCGCTGTCACCAAGTACAGTAGGGGCATTATCATTAGATAGCTTTAAACAAGGTCTAGAGTTAGAAATTCAGGGGTTAGGTGTAACAAGTCAATCGGTGTAATGTAGCCAGCTGCCGCAGTGCCTGCGAAGATGGTTTGTTACGCCAAAAGGCGGTTACACCGGCTTTTCAGATACAGAAAACAATAACTCTGAACATAACAACAACTCCATAATGTTTATCACCAAGACACAAACAACAAAGTCTCAATTTCCCCGGTTCTCAGTGCGGACTCAATACAAACACATATCATTCAACTCAACCAAAAACAAAACTTCTGTAACAGGGTTAACAACACTTGGTATAATCATTACAGAATGGTAGCACAATTTTGGCAGGGGACAATCAGGCAGATGTAACAGTTTGTTTCAGTGGTAGTGACGAAGTGTAGAGAAATCTTCAGTACTCATCAGCACACTGTTCTCATCATCAACAAACTGTTCACATGCACAAAAATAAAGCACAAAATTCTCATAGTTTTCACATTGCCATTCTCAGCTTTTAAAGAACAATACAAGAAATGCACTCAACACATACTGCAAATCATTTGGTTCACACAGGAAAAATCTGATGACACACATTGTGCCTTATAAATGGTTTATTGGTCAAACATTATCAGTGCAATCGCAGCCTTTTATAGCGCTGAATTGATGCAGGGTTTACTTTACAATCATACAACCTATCTGCTCCACACACTTTTGTGGAGCTGTCACAAGGGCCTGTGCGGCTGCCATTCAGCACCACCAGGTGGCCTCAATACGACCTTTTCACCCATTCACACCTGGGTGGAGTGAGGAAAGTGTCATACAAACTGTGCCTTACCTGGTCACACAGGTAGGTGATGTTATCTATGTCTGTGTCGGCTACCTCTACACCCATGGAGATCTCAGCAGCCTTCTTCACCTGTTCCTCCACTTCCTCAGGCAGGATGTGGGACAGGTCTGTCTTGGCTGTGTTCAGTCGGTTTCCTGGAGGAACAGAAAAATAATTCAGTATCTTTCACTGCGATAATGTTTGGCTAGCAGATTGAGTTGGGGGTTCGATCCCTGCTAGACGCTGTGTCCTTGGGAAAGATACATTACACATCTTTTCTCACTCCACTCAGGTGTAAAATATGGTTGTTGTGGAGGTAAAAGGCAGTGGAAGGAGAGGGATGGGCTCTGCCTTCCAATACCGTGCCCAGGACACAGTGGACTAACAACCCAATGCCCCTACGGCCTAAAAAAGGCCATGGGACTATATTTATCTTTGCTAACCTTTGATATCAATAGCATAACATATGCTTCATTCAGATATCAATATTTTGCACACCACTTTGTTAACCTGAGAGAAATATGAGCTACGTACCTATAGCTTTGACAGTTTTGGCATAAGCCAAGTTGTCCGTGACGACTTTACTGAGCTCAGGGAAGTGCCAGCCGTACCACTCCTTACATCTCATGATGTAGTTGTTCAACTCTTTGTCTAAATCATCCAGGAGACCTGGAATGGGAAAGAAAAACTCATAAGCATATATAATAAAGAGTATTATTATTCAAGACTGAAGACCAGGTAAACACACTGAAATTGAGTAGTACTAGAAGCTGCATTAATCCAGAGATTTGACAGGTCTGTGGACCATAAGGTTGAGGGTTCTAATCCCGATGTCACTGACTGCATATGAACAGTTGTAGTTGGATGTGGCATTCTTGGATGTCTCTTTTTCCTAGTATTTTGAACCTACATACACTGCACTTTCAAATCTGTATCTGTATAGCCGGTACAACTGCCCTTCAGCGTAACACACTAGCTTCACAGTCACGCGGCGCAGCAGCAGCTGGCTACATTACACAGAACGACTTGTTACACCTAACCAACCAACAATGTAAACTCATCAAGGATTATCTCCAGTATACTTACAGATAGCCTGTATGATCATGGTGTCCACCTTGTCTGGGCTGAACTTGAGCTTGTATCTGGACAGTCCGTGGGCCAGGCCCAGCGCCATGGCCGCCATCTCCTTATTTGGAAGCCCCGTGATGAGGTTGTTGACCTGAGACTTGATACATCTCATCAGTTCTGCGATGGCCGTGTTGTGAACACACTGGAGATCTAACTTATCCTGTAACAGTAGATATTATACAGAACATCAGTTCTGTGTGTTGTGAACACACTGGAGATCTAACTTATCCTGTAACAGTAGATATTATACAGAACATCAGTTCTGTGTGTTGTGAACACACTGCAGGTCTAACTTATCCTGTAAGAACAGATATTATACAGAACATCAGTTCTGTGTGTTGTGAACACACTGGAGGTCTAACTTATCCTGTAAGAACAGATATTATACAGAACATCAGTTCTGTGTGTTGTGAACACACTGGAGATCTAACTTATCCTGTAACAGTAGATATTATACAGAACATCAGTTCTGTGTGTTGTGAACACACTGGAGGTCTAACTTATCCTGTAAGAATAAATATTAGTCAGGGCCCCACAATCCAATTTTGATCCCTTGTTAGTCTCTATCAAGTGAAAACGGGGGCCTCGGGGATCACATGTACCCCGTGTATCTGTTTTGTAACCTGCACAGCTTGACTGACCAGCCCCATGGTTTCCGCAAACCCACGTTCATAGCTAGTAAAGAGACTCTTTTTACACAACCAAGTCTTTTGTTCAGCTGACGTTACGGTGACCGTCTGTCACCTTCCTCAGGGCAATTCTGACTGGTTCACCTTGCATTGCAGCACAGGTGTCACTGCTATAGATGCATTCCCAAATGTACAATATTTACCTTGATAGCGTTGCCCAGCTTGGCGTCTGCCACGGCCAGCTCCTCGTGAGCTTCCTTCGCTACGATCTTCTTCAGCATCTTCTTCATCGTCTTACTCATCTTCCCTTCTACCGCCGCCGTGGCAGCTGGGAACACGGGGAGGGAAACCAACTGTCAATCATTGGGACTCTGTCTTTTGATTGGACCAGCAGAGTGATTTTATTTATTATTTTTTGATTTGATTTATTGAAATTGCAACATTACAATTCAGGCAGCTGTTGCTGGTGTTGTGTCCCACGCATAGAAACAAATACTGGATAGACAACACTCATTTTCACTTGAGTCTAGAGGGGAAAGTCATGTAAAGTGCCTTTCTCAAGGGCACAAGATCAATGGCATGTCAGGACGTGAACCCGGGACCTCTTGATTCCTTGTCACACACGCTGCCGTTGCGCCACATGACCCCGCAATGTGGTTAACCCCACAAATTACACCACTAAAGGCATTAGTTCACAATCCTAAACTTCTCATTCAAGCGGTACATATGAATGTTAGCATTACAATGATTTATTATCTTGATATAAAAAGATAAGGCAATTTAAATAACAGAGATATAACGTACCTGATAACGCTTCTGTTGTGTCATCAAACTTCTGGAAGTGCTTGAGTTTAACACTGAAGATTCAAACAAGAACACAACGTCTTGTTAAGCAAAGAATGAAGTTTTCACAAGAGAAACATTTGAACATATATGACAGTTTGTTTCAGTGGTAGTGACGAAGTGTAGAGAAATCTTCAGTACTCATCAGCACACTGTTTTCATCATCAACAAACTGTCACTACATGATTCCTAACATAGTTTAGGGTAATGAAAATAATTTCATCAGGTTGGTAAAACTTAAGAGATAGGGGAATTCTTTTTACACAACCAGTGAATCTTACCTCGCTAACGTTTCGGTGTCTGTCAGACACCTTCTTCAGAGCTTCTGACTGGAGTACTGCATCTCACCGCTATATGTAGCCGATGTAGGTGGCACTTTTGCGGCGAGAACACTATCCCAAACGTGGCTTAGTTTGTACCCCCCCTCGTCCCGGTTCATTACAGGGGCTGACTTTCTGATCCAAACTGCCTCCTTGATCCAGCGGGTTCTTCTATTGTCTTCTCTGTCTATAACTTTCGCCCCCTCCCAGTCAATTACGCAGTTGTTTCTAGCAATGTGCGAGATGCAGTACTCCAGTCAGAAGCTCTGAAGAAGGTGTCTGACAGACACCGAAACGTTAGCGAGGTAAGATTCACTGGTTGTGTAAAAAGAATTTCCCTATCTCTATAGTTTAGGGTAACAAAAAGGATTTAGGCACATCTTTACACTGATTCTGATATCTTTTTATTTTACAATGTTGGTCATAATGGTCGAAGAATAATGTATAACACCCACATATCTGCATGATAATTTACAGTGCATGCTAAGGAATTGGACAATATGGAGGTTCTTACATTTTACTGGCCTTTTCTGGTGTCTCAAAGTCCTTGAAGAGTTCATCTGTCTCCTGTAGTTTCTTCTCATTCAGTAACTGTGGAAAAAAATAGATACAGACTTTCGTAAGTCCACTTTCTTCAAGTTCAAATACATTTTATTTTCATTTAGGTTTGCAGCATTCACATTTTGTGCCACGGTTTAACACTCCGCGGTGTGTAGTCACACAAATATTCATGGACAGGAATAAGTTTGAGGTGACAAAACAAATTATAATTTCATGCAGAATATTAACGTTAGATGATTTACAGTAACATTAAATACCAAATAATAGTATTTTGAGGGAATTTATTTAACACACTGTTTACGCTTATTTTCATTCAATGAAAAATGATAATTTTAAAAGCGGGACAAGCAACTATCTGTAACACATTAAATCTTTCGGGTAAACTTTAATTGCAACAAAACAATTATGATTAAAAATCCCTCGACAAGCTTGCACAATTGTTTCCGCCCCCCTCCCCACATTCTAAATCATCCATAATTATTTACAGCCATTTAAGGCTATTAATAGCAGAACACTGCTTGTAGTATGTTTATGTTACAAACTTTGACTTCCCTCATTCACTTATCGATATCAAACGTATATAATACAGTATATTTGTGAGGAAAAGTCTGGATTTAGTGTTGGTAAACCTATTTTGCAACACACGTGCACGTGTGCGACGATGCGATTTTTTTTCACTTCGCAAAGTTAAGCACGAACAAACGTCGCATACTAGCGAAAATAGGCGACTCTAACAAAGAAAAAACAACATACATCGTGCATAACACTACCAGCACAGATACACTTACCTTGAATATGGCATAACCTGCCGGGGTTTCAAATAAAACCAACATTTTTGTGGCTAAATCCTAGATTTCGCCCATCCACGCGGTGAAAAAAAGCTACCCACTAACAGTGCGCAGGCGTTGTGACCTTATGTCCCACATGGATCAGGGGTGACCTCTAGCGATTTTTTTTCAAACTGCAGTTCAAATTATTTTGACGTACGGCTCAACTGCAGTCAAATGCACCTGTTTGACGCAACGTTGATTATCCGACACTTTTCTCCTTTGGATTGGGCTATTTATACTTGGTGTACTTATCCATGGCTTCTTAAGAACCGGAAGAAACTACACAATATATAACTTAGCATTTGAGTCACGTTTTATGGACATGTGTAGCGCCACACGGTGTGATCTGCATAAAAATTACCTTATTTGCATGTTCGTGAGACTTAAATGGTACAAATTATCTTATTTGCATGTTTGTGAGACTTAAATGGTTTTGACCGCACAACACAGTATTCATGGGCGAACCCCGTACGGGTACAAAGTAGTGCTGCTCAATAGTAGAGAAAGGTGCAGAGATTGTTCTGTGCATGGCATCGAGATGGAACCTGTGGTTAATGTTAGAGGAATACGTCAGTTTTGAGACTGTAAAAGTTGAATTATGGTGCGTGTTCAGTCGGCGTAGATTTGCGCTTTGATACTTGTACGGTAAGTTGTGTACTACTTCAGTTACGTCATAGTTACGTCAGCCACAGGTAAATGAGACCCTGCAGTTTGGAGACAAATCGCTAGAGGCCACTGCTACACGGTCTACCTGCCAGGTTTCGTCCTGACGTTTCGCCGACGTCAGTACACTTTGCAGTCAAGAGAGCGCCTATTTCCAACTCTAACCCTAATCGGAACTTCAATTCTAACCATAGCGATAACCGCAACAACAGCTAAAAAATTGAAACGGCGAAAGGTAACAGGAAACAGTAATTTTGGTAGCGTTGTGGGGAATGTTACTACGAACGAGACGCTTGTTTTATCATGTTTATTACGGAAATGGCACGGTTCAAATGATGTCCACAATTCTGCAGTTAGCAGACTGAAAGAAAGGGGGCACTAAAATGAGACCGTAAAAAAGGCTGAATTAATGAGATGCGTGACGGAGTGGATTGTCGTCTGTTCATCACCGAACATGTAAACAAACATGGCGGCTCAGTTGTGTTTGGTGCGAGACACGCTAGAATTGGTCGCGTTGTGGGGTGTTTAGCGGGATTTGAAGACCACCCACCCTTCGTACACCGAGTTAACAGAGCAGACAAGCATAAGGGACAACCATAAATTGGGGTGAAAACAGATATAATCACACAGCGAATTACAACAGTACTGTGGTAGAAAATACGATTTGCATATGAATCATTACACTGGAACAGTGGAAGTCAACAATGCTAGACCATGCAGCAGCGACATCTAGCGATTTATCACACTCCTCTGTACGGTTTCTCTGCTCCAGGCCTCTTGATCAGCACCAAGGTCAGCACCAGGAACAGGCTTGACTGTGCGGCTTTTCAGAAGGATCTCGTAGCCTGGAACAGCCTGACTTTGCGGCAATTCAGAAGGATCGGATGTTAACTGACCCTGGGGCACTCAAACGGGGCTGATAGCCTTGTACAGGCTTGGCCGTGAGATCATCTAAAATGAAGTGATAGCCTAGCCTGTCATCAGCTGACTCAGCCACTTCGTAGCAACATTCCCGAAAACGCAGGCTACATTAAGTACAACCGGGCCGCCATGTTTGTTTACATGTTACTCTAGGTCTTTCTTTAACTTAAGCATAAAAACAAATGAGTTTCAAAGGAGTCTCACATAGGGGATGATTGCGTACTGCACTTCTTCGTACTTCTGTCGTAGGACGATCAAGATCTCGTATATTGTCCAAAAGAAAATTAAATGTATAAGATCTTGGAACAATACAAACTTACGAGCAAGCAGAGGGGTGTGCAAGGGGTGATTGTTAGCGAAATATTCCACTATACCGGGATTCGGTAAATCTCTATTTTAGCCCCTGAAGTCGAAACCTGGGAACGAGTCACTAACACATGTGGTTGCGTGATTGTGTCATGCTACAAACCATAACAGCCTTGTACAGGCTTGAATTGATAGCCTGGAACAGGCCTGGCCATGGGACACTCAAAGGGGGTTGATAGCCTCGTACAGGCTTGGCCGTGAGGCCATCTATAAATGGATAATGTCTCCTGGCGTAATGTAGCTGCTATAACCCTGATACATTGTTCTTCAGCGTTGTGTTTGATAGAAATGATCCCAGGGTATGTACATAGGTAACCCGCTAACGTACAAGTTGCGCCAGACAAATTATGATTGCCCGGCGCAGTCCGGGTGACTGTATATTTCGAACCCCGAACCACCAGTGACACACAGCAAACTCTTCGAACATGGTTCACGGTATTCTACATTTGTGAATGATTCAAAAAGTCGCTTACATAAATTCTTACACAATTCCCTTGGGTTGCTATCACTGTTTTCTGTTACAAATTACACAACTTGCGCCTTTTCTTGTATCGTGATGTAATGACGTAACGTAAGTGGAATGTTGGACTGTCAATCACTGTACGCGCGCAGTTGTGTGCCTGAGTTCGTGCGCGTTGAACACGAAACCGTTACCGGGATATCATATTAAATCCAGCGAACCCTTGTGCATATGTTCAGTGTGTTAACCTTATTTCTTCTTCTGTCCCATATCTAGGGACATTTTTGTTTGTCAACGTCAATAATCTAGCAAACACTAGGACACGATCTACCATGACATTGAAAGAGAGTCATGTTTGTACATGGGTTTAACCGCATAATTCTCCACGGTTCTCGCGTTAAACCGCGCTCTCAACCAAACCACCAGAACGGGAAAGCTACCCAAATCCTCATCAGTCGCAATTTCAAGTGATTTCACCACTTTATACCATTTTTACCTCTAACCGACTAACCCTAGGACCACGACACAAACGAGACATTGGGGAACAAAAACGGACTTCTCCGTCCAAGTTTAGGTTGAAAGAAAATATAAAACACTTCTAAATTCAGTCGCTGAAGCAAGTTGCGGGCGGCTTGACACGCTGGCCCGACCTGTTTTTGTCAGAATTAGTGGCTTTGGAAATAAGTCATTGTTACCGCAGGCTCTCCAGCCTACTCCACAACATTCCCACTCCACCCTTCTCCACCTCCGTGTGTGCTTACCGACGCTGTGTGATTGGTCCGCCGCCTCTCGTGGCCCGTCCTTATTGTTGGGTTGGAGAGGGGTCTTGAGCGCGCAGCCAGGCGCAGGAATTTTGCCCAAACCCCGCTGTTGTCTAGGATGTGGCGTTAGCCGTGAGAGGGGGACTGTGACAACACACCGGTACCGGGTTGTCTTTGCTTATTAACTTCGCGCAAAAGGATTACGTCAAGGAATTCTACCGGGCTGAAGGAGAGATGACTTAGCACTGGGCGGCCGGAGAGAGTTGGAGTAAGACTTTCGGCGTCGGTCAGGACAGTTCCTAGTCCCTACGACGTACTGCTACAGGTTTTCAACCCAGCTTCAAGCGGAGTCTTTCCTAGGATCGACATTTTTTAGGTAAGACTTGCACTTCATACGTCCAAGGTTGTACAAAATATCAATTTTATTTGGACTTCATAAGTCGCAGAAGAGCAGGCTTTAGTGGTAAACAGATAATCTTTTATTGAAGAAGGCAAACGTATTTTACTGTGGAAGTTCCGAACTGCGTACGTGTTTGCACCAGAGTTAAAAAGAAGGCGATCAATAAAGTAAACGTTAGATGGTTACCTTGCAGCAGATGTAGGGTTGAGGGTGGGGAGGGAACAATAGAAAGTAGCGACGCCGACGTGCTCCAGCCCGCCGCTTAGAGCCAGCGCTTTTGTGCCGCTCGCAAAGGTGCCTGCCCTCCGCCCGGCTCCCGCTAATGAGATCGCTACCGACTTGTCATTTGGCTACACGAAACGAGGAGGAAATCGCTCGGTCAAAGTCACGCCCGAGCAGGTGCTAAAATAGACCCTAGACAGCCGGGGTGCTCAGGCCTGACGTGGAGATGCCACGTCTTCCATCACCATCACGGCCACGTATTTCATCCGTACCGTCATTAGTGGCGGTTTTAGGACGTGTTTGTGTGTGAGAGTACGCGGAATATTTGCTGCTTTCCTCTCTGTTGGTTCCCAATCGTTTCTTCTCTTCCGGATGGATAGAATCCAATCTACTGAATGTGGTCTTCTGACCATGGATTCCAAGGGTCACTAACAAGCAACACTTCATAAGAGAGTGACTTTAAAAAAGCTATTCCCTCACACTTATAGTTCGCTTTCCAAGGGTGACTTGTTTTCCAATTATTCGTTCCTCCTTCAAAGTTCTTTTTCTGGAGAAGACTAACTTTACCAAGGTAACTCT